AGTGTTGGTGTAAGGAAAGACATATAGATCATTTGAATAAAACAGAGAATCTAGAAATAGAACTACACATATATAGTCCACTGAGTTTTGAAAGATTATTTAACATTAACATTTTATAAAATATAAACTCAATTCAAGAGCCGAGGAAAAGATAGTGTTTTCAGCAAATGGCGCTAGAACACCTGGTATCCGTATATAAAAAATTAACTTCAACCCTTTATTTCCCTACATAAAAATAACTTGAAAGGATCTGTGAACCTAAATATGAAAACCTAAAAGTATAAAACTTTAAGAAGAAATTATAAGGGAAAATGTTCATGAATTTAGGGTAGGCAAGAACTTCCTAGGATACAAAAAACATGTATAAAAGAAAAAAAATTGATAAATGAGATTCCATCAAAATTTAGAACTTTGACATCGTTAAACTGAAAAGTCCTTAAACAGACCATATTTACAATGCATATAATCTATGACCAGAATATATAAAGAACTCTTACAGCTCATCAATAGACAACCCAATTAAAAAGTAGACATAAGATGATAAATAGCCAGTACAGCACAAGGAAAGGTGTACAACACTAGAACCAGAAAAATACTGATCAGTACAATAACAAGACTGAATTCTACACTCATTAGGGAGATGAAGTTAAAAGCTTTAAAAGAACAAATGTCAGCTTAGGTGTGAACCAGTTAGAACTTTCTAATACTGCTAATGTGAATCATGCAAGATCTTTTTGTTGGGTCAGGTTCTCTGAAAGTTCTTTCATTTCACATGAGGTCTTGGTTATTTTTAGGCTATGGGCCCTTTCTCAGTCTAGGAATGCTGACAGATCCCTTGTCTGAATACTATGTAAAATACGTATTTTTTTTTTTTGAGATTGAGTCTCCCCATGGAACTCAGGCTGCCTCAAACTTGTGATTTTCCTACTTCATCTTCCCAAGTGCTGGCATTAGAGGTATCCACCACCATTATAGGATTCCCAAGAAGAGCAGTTATGTTGGATCAGTTCTCAAATTTTAAAAAGTAAATTTGATACATCAATATATATGGTTCTTTATTACACAGAGCAACATATTCTAAAAACTACTGTAATTTCAAAGTAGTGATGAATATAAATGTTGTTTTGAGATACCTGTAAACACTAATAGGGTATGAAAATATCTGTGATTATTACTGTAGTAGACAAAGTCACAGGTACTGCTAATAGTACTGTGATTTATTATCTTCATTTGTAGTTTTTAAAAAAGCCAGACTTCACTTAGAAGTTACTAAAAATAAAGACATTTTTTACCTTCCAGGTGTACATACAGGCTCCTGAGTTTAAGCCACACATAGTTCTCAGGTTAACAGCCCTGTTTTGAACTTTAGCACAGAATCCTGGGAGAGAGGTTGGAAAGTGTTTACTTTTTTAGCCTACTAAAATAACTTTAAGGTTAGAAAAATCTGTCTTCCCAGTTTTTAATCCTGAATGGATTATGAGGATTGATTTGGTTTTTTATAGTAGATTAATATCTGGAAATTCAGACTGTTTCTAAGCGGAATAGTCATGGGCTTGACCTTAGTGGAGGAGTTGAAAATGTGAAGTCCAGCAATTGGATGTATGTCCTGAATCTGCCACCCACCACTGCCAACAGACATCATTACTACTTACTGAGTTCTTGGTGTGCTGACTGATTTTTCAGATATTAGTCGGGCAGTGTGCTAAGCATTTTACCCACATCATCTCATTTATGCCATAAAACAACTCATGGAATTGGAAGTGTTATTTTTGTTTTACAGAAGATTCTGAGGCTTACTTACCAAGATTTAGGTGATATTTCCATTGTACTAGTGAGGGACAGTTTAGATTGCATATCACTGAAAACCTAAAATACAAGAAGACTAGAGATTGAAGGCCAGGCTTGGTATAGAAGTTCCATGAAGTGCCGAGGACCAGTTCCTTATGCCTTTCCATATTTTGCCATTCCTGGGTGTAATCCTTGTCTTCATGGATTGACCATGTGGTCAGAATGACCACAGATAGCCAGCCAGCCATTACATGCATAAGGCCGGGTGAAGGAAAGTACGCTACAAAAAAAAGACAGCAGAGGATACATGCCTTTTGTATATTAAGGAGGTTTTCCTAGGGTCCCCACTGAGCGGCCCAGTCACTAGCTGCAGATCAGGCTGGAAAATGTAGTCTTAATTGTGGGAGGCCATTTTTCTGTTACTAAGGATGGTGAGGAATACATTCAGTGGCAACTAATAACAAATCTCTGCATCACTCAAGGCCAATTTTTGAGGCCAGAGTAGAGCCCAGGCCTGTCTGTGTCTGAATTCTGTCCTCTTAATCACCATGTTATGCTAATGTCTCCATGTTTATTTATTTATACATTTGGTTGGGTTTTTTTGTTTTGTTTTTTTGGAAACAGGGTCTTGCTTTGTAATGCAGGCTGGCTTTGAACTCAACTATGTATCCCAGGTTGACCTTGAACTCACATTGATCCTCCTGCCTCTGCCTCCTGAATGCTGAGATTACATGCATGTGTTACCATGCCCAGCTATGTCCCCATGTTTAAAATAACGTAATATAATCATGAACCATCCATTTCAGAGGCTGTGGGAGTCTTCTAACGTCTTGTAGATAAAGATCTTGTGAGATGGTCCTCAGTTCTCACCCTCAACCTGGCAATAGGAACAACACCTGTAGGGGTATTTCTGGTTCACTTTTTTTTTTTTTTTTTTGGTACCGGGGATCGAACTCGGGTCCTTGCGCTTGCGAGGCAGGCGGTGGAACCACTGAGCTAAATCCCTGGCCCTGGTTCACTTTTTAAAGCTTCTTCTTTAATAGGGCTGAACCTGTGTGCTTCCCTCCTAGGCCCGACTGCCTGTGAAGTGGATGGCACCAGAAAGCATTTTCAACTGCGTGTATACATTTGAAAGTGATGTCTGGTCCTATGGGATTTTTCTATGGGAGCTCTTCTCTTTAGGTAAAATGATCCTTTCTAAAAACACGTTCGTTAGACTCAGAATATCTTCTTGGGGTTTTATTGGTGTCCTGCTTGCTTGTAATTTCTGATTGTGATTTGCCAATGGTCTGTGTCACAGGAAGCAGCCCCTACCCTGGAATGCCGGTTGACTCCAAGTTCTACAAGATGATCAAGGAAGGGTTCCGAATGCTCAGCCCCGAGCATGCACCTGCTGAAATGTAAGGCCCAAGGAGAATATTTTTCTTCAGATAACATTTCCCCTTTTAGTTTTCTTTTTAAAGACAGAAATCCAGATGTTGAGGGTTTTCACTTGTGCAGTTTGAAATGTCACTTAGTTCTTTTTGTGACACCCTGATCAAATGTCATTGCTATAGTTTTCAAAATCTCTTGTTGCCAAGAATACAGAAAGTCTTGACAATATCTTACACAGTGTTTTATTTTATGCATGTGCCGCTTCATGTGGCCAGGTCCACAGCCCTGGAACTGTTAGGAAGTTGTTGCAGAATAGGCACTGGAAGACAGGTGACAGGTCAAGGGCATCTAGGAGTGACAGTTAATGGCTCTCCTTTTGCAGTTATGACATAATGAAGACTTGTTGGGATGCTGATCCTCTAAAAAGGCCAACATTCAAGCAGATCGTTCAGCTCATTGAGAAACAGATTTCAGATAGCACCAATCACGTGAGTACCTGGCCAGGCCCAGAACCCCCTCCTCCCTTTTCCAGGTATGTGCTCCTCAGGATTTAGGGCTGAGGATTTGTCTCCCCACTTCTCTCCTTGGCTTGGGCTGTAAAGTGAGCTTCAGGAGAGGTGACTGAAAAACGATTCTTTATGCTCAACCCTCGTGTTCTGAGCCAGAGAAGGCTGCAGTATGGGGAGGGGAAAGGGTGGAGGATTTTGTGCTTAGAAGTGTGCAAATGCAAGTTCCATGAGGACTTGCCATGCTTCCTCCTCCCCCCTGAGTGCAGATCATGGGGTTGGTGTGCTCTTCCCTCACTGGTCAGGGCCATTCATCCTTGGGATGGCTGATGTGCCGTGAACCAGAATGAAAGGCAGCTTGTTACTGCGGTGAAGTCAGCCTCCTGCTCACACAGGCGTAGCCAGCACATGGCGATAGCTGTCATGTCCACAAGCCACAGAGAAGCAGGAGTTGTTTGAAGTTGAGAGATCCCTCCCAGTGGTTTGGGGAGTGAGGGATGAAAGCTCAAATCCGTTATTTCCTCCTCTACTTTAAAGGAAGAATTAACGATCCTTACTTTGATTGAGATTTTTTTTAAGCTGCTTTTTTTTGTTTCCCGGGCTGTGTGCTTGGAGCTCTCTTATCTAATGGCACACTGCTATTCTGTACTTTCAGGTCACAGCTTGCTCTGCAGGGTGTCAAGGCATATTTCAGACGAAGCAGTATTTTCCACCCAAGTGCTTTGATTCCTGACTAAAGACCCCTGGAAGAGCCATGAGTTTCTCAGCAAATTACACCAGCAGTTGGGGTGCAGTTGGCCATAGGGATTTGTAAAAACTTTCTAATGGGTTAGATAGTGCTTGTTCCCAAATGGATCCCATCATAAGAGTGAGACTTACAGATGTTTTTGTCCCACTTCTTGTGAAAAGTGATTTTCTTGGGGAGAATGAAGAGTGAACCAAGCTTGTATTTGTTTTTATCATTATGATGTAGGTTTTAGCTGCCAAGATCTTGTAAACGACTTCTCTTCACAAGTCCTTGTCTGTTCCTTGCCATTCTGAAGCTCTGCTACTGTGTTCACTGTAGGGACTGCAGTATTAATTTTGGCCTTGTTTTCCCAGATTTACTCCAACTTGGCCAATTGTACTCCCAACCCAGAGAACCCTGTGGTGGTGGATCATTCTGTGCGGGTCAATTCAGTTGGCAGCAGCGCCTCCTCTACCCAGCCTCTCCTTGTGCATGAAGATGTCTGAGCAGGACGAGCTTTTGGGGTCTCCCCTACAGGAGCAATCCCCATTTTTTTGGCTTCCACAATGGTTCTTTTGTTTTCTTTCAACTTGCATCTTGTGCCAGGGTAGTGGGTCCCCCACGGTAATCCTGACTTCATGAGCACACTTTAGTGGCTGATGATTTTCTTGTCATCAATCACCAACCTGTTGTAAAGGTTCGAACTGTATATATTCCCAAAAGCAAAGTAGCTCCTACTATAAACAAAAAAAGTTCTGATTTAGAGAAAGAGAGGGTGGAATGGGCTAGATGCCCAGATTTCTTTCCAATGCTTCTCCAATTCTGTTTGAAAAGCGTGGTTGGTTGTTGATTTGAATAAAAAGAAGTACGCACATTTGGCCTAAAGGATCCAGGATGATGTGAAGATACATCGGGATTGCCAATTGAAACCTAAGCCCTTCATGTGGAAAATGGAACATTATTAGAACAAAGGATACAAGTATGAACATCTGGCCTTATGAAATCTAGTATTTCACACTGAGAATGAGACCTGGGCCAAGAAAAAGTGCCCCTTGAACATGAATAAAGACATGGCTGTGGACCATCGCATGAGCTTTTGTACACCTGACCTGGTTTTTAAATAGAATTTGCTATCAGGAGTTGAATTGGAGACAAGGCCCCCCTAGCCTGTGTCTGTATATACTCATCTATAGATTGTGCATGTTCATACATTGGAGGAGGAGCCCACAAGGTTTAATTTCTGTGTACAAACCTGGCGTTATGTCTGCTGTGTGTAGGAATAGATTGAGCCATACAAGTTTGAAGGAAACAGTTAATACTGGTTTTTTTTAAGGAAAAAATGTAACTGTCAAGCACAGACATAACAAAAACCTCCTCTTTTAGCCAATGAACTTGCCCTTTCGATTGTCCAGAATAAGCCGATAGCCTCAGAATAGCATTGTACTCAGTGGATTTGATGCTGTTTGAAGAAGTTGCTGATCTACCACAGGATTCTGCAGGAGTGAGAAAGTAGTGCTGTCTTAGTTTGGATTCTTGTATAGCAGGAAGTCAAAGTTAGATTCATCCTCCTTTACAGACATGTCCTGGACATTGGGCCAGTATCTCATGTAAGAGTGTATGTGTGTGCGTGTGTATATATGCATGCAGAGATGTATTTGAGGGGGTGTTTTTGCCCTGAGTCCAATAGGGTCCTTCAGTAAGTACCCAAGAAGTAACTTGGCTTTCATCATCAGACCTGTTTCTGTACATAGCTGTCTAGAATAGCTTACCAAAAGCTTGTGTAGAGGCTTGTCAGAAGTGGAGTGCTGAGGGACTGACCTACTTGCAATCCATGCACACTTAAGGCACTCTGTTATTTATACTCAACATACTGTACCCATTCTTTAGGCCGTATGTAATGCTACTGTTCCACTGAGAAACATAGTTAAATGTTACCCTTTAGGCTGTGGCCTAAATACTACTCTTGATAGTTTACCTTCTTTCTCCGCCCTCCTCATCGCTGCCTAATATAAGAGGTAAATGTGTACATGGCAAGATTTGTGTGTTGTCTTGCAAAATTCGGGTATGTTGCCTCCATGGTTTTCCCTTATCCATCCCTTAGACTACATTTAAAGTAGTTTGTCCATTAATTTGGAAGTAACTGTTTGCACTGGAGTTTGATGCTCTCGCACCTTTCCAAAGTTAACAAGTTTTGGGGTTGTGTTATCACATAAGAGATTGTTGCCATTTGCCATACTTTGTCTGAAAAATTCCTTGCATTCCTATTGACTTTGATTATAGTAAGAAAAGTTAATTGTAGATGTCTAGGTACTTCAGGGGCACTTCATTGAGAGTTTTGTCTTGGATATTCTTGAAAGTTTATATTTTTATAATTTTTTTTTACATCTGATTTTTTTTTGCAGTTGCTTAATGTTTGAAATTATTTTTGGCTTTTTTTGTAAATATTGAAATGTAGCAATAATGTCTTTTGAATATTCCCGAGCCCATGAGTCCTTGAAAATATTTTTTATATATACAGTAACTTTATGTGTAAATATATAAGCGGTGCAAGCTTAAAGGATGTTGTGTTTCATGTGTATTTTTCCTGATACGTTGTCCAATTGTTGACAGTTCTGAAGAATTCTAATAAAAATGTAAATATACAAATCAAATGGGATTTTTTTTTTCTTAAAATGCATTCACCCTTACAGAAAATTTTGCACCCAGTTTGCATAAAATACATGCAGGACTATCAAATCATACTAGGATTTATATGCTTGAAGATTCAATAGATATTTACTAAAAATGTTACGATGCATTACATTTTCTCATTCTTACCCCTTAGGTCTTTAAATTGAAAAAGTAGTAAACATTTTGAGAATTTCCACATAGCTATGATTATTAAGTTGATTCTTGGGAAATGACCATTTTTGTTGGCAAAATAACAGCAATTTTCATGTGGTCTAATCTAATGTACCCAACAGGTTTCCTAAAAGAGATTGTCTAAAAATTAACTTGAACAGGGCCAGGGATTTAGCTCAGTAGTTCCGCCGCCTGCCTTACAAGCCTAAGGACCTGAGTTCAATCCCTGGTTCCAAAAAAAATTAACTTGAACAATAAAGTGGTGGCCAAAGTTGACATAAGGAATATCAAAAAATAGTGATTTGTATTCTTACTGCCTTGGGTTTTGAAGAGAGATAATTTCATTGTGAAAGACTTCTGCCCTCAATCCTTATTCTTACTGGCTTCCAGGATGGAGTTAAGTTCCATCATTTATTGGAGGGAGGTGCATTGTGCCTTTGAGTTAGGTATTGACCTGTGGCTGAAACATCCTGCAGGGGCAAAAAGTTCTGTCCAGACCTTTGAGACCTGGAGAGACACTGAGTTCTCCCACCACTTTACACCCTGTAATCCTATTAAGAAAAGGTGAGACACCCAAACATCATTTTCGTATGGACATGACATCTGCACCTGCAGAAGCATCTCCTGCAAAGAGTGGGAAGGGTTAAAAGGTGACCTGTAATGAGAAATCCTTTTCAAGTCAGGATGATTTGTGTGGCCAGGGATGTGCCAAATAATCAGAAATAGACCCACATTTCAATCAGGTTGCTGTTATTACAGACAGAAATGAATGCTAATTGACTGTAAAAGAAAGGTGTCTTTTCTCTCCAAATGTTTGCACTGTGATGTAGGGATGTGTGTGTGTGTGCGCGCGCGTGCGTGTGTGTGTGTGTGAAATCTTGAGTTAGAATCATGTTATCAGTCCTTCTCTGACCCAGCTTTTTATTGCAAAGTAGTTTTGGGTGCTTGGTGTCCAGGCTCAAAGTGCATTCAAATACTGGTGCCAGCCCTGTCTGCCATTTACTACTACTCTTGATATTCCAGTTCTATAGTAGTAGTATCTATCACACTGTACTAGTGTAGGCCTCTAAAGACCTACACAGTTCTCAAAAAATGGTAGCTTTTGCACACCTGTAATCCCACCACTCTGGGAGGCAGAAGACTGCAAGTTTGAGTCCAACCTGGACAATATAGTGACTTATTGAAATCCAATCTCAAAAATTGAGAAAGAGATGGTAAAAATCAGAAGGGAAGACTTACTGGAGATTTGGGGGTGGGGATAAACAGACCAAAAATAATCAAGATACATGTATGTACCAGTTTCCCAAAACAAATGTAACCATTGGATATTGCAAACATACACTAATAAAAATAAATGAAATATAAAAACTATAAAATGGGCTGGAGATGTAGATCAGTGCAAAGGCATTGGGTTCAATCACTAGTACTACCACCAACAACAGAAAGGTAGCTTTCATTATGGTTAATTAAGCTTGTTAAGTAGAGAAGATGAGCAATACTTAAATGCTGGCATATCACATATAGAATTACAAAATCAAATAATGCTTTTTGCTGTCTCTTAAATGCAAACAACATTGTACTAGTATGCTATTGAACTGACTTTGCTGTAATGATTTATGTGCTTTTATGTAGGTTCCAGCATTTTAGCCAGTAATTGAAGCCTTTCTATGTTCTTACTCCAGCCTTTCTTCTGGGGTCTCCTTCCAAATCATTGAGCCATGAGTATGCCCCATACTCTTCTGGTTCCATTTTCAGACTTTATATTGTCTTTTCCAACAAACTGCTATTTTTTCAAGGCCAGTGAAATCGTCTCAACTGGAAGTTGCCTCTGCATTCCCATGACATTCTATACTTCTAAGCTCTTACAATTTTTTCTGCCATGTACTATAGTTATTTTGGCTCTTATCCTCTTTCCCACCACTTCTATCCCCAGACTTGTTTCACTGGTATCTCTTACTCAAGTGAGTTACCTCCAGTGTGGCGAACCTATGGTATGTGTGCTGCAGTGGGCTGTTTGTATCATTAAAAGATCCAAAAGGTTCGCCATCACTAGTAGACAGAGGTTAAAAAGCCCCAAATTTGCAAAGATTCATTAAGACTTGCCCAAATTCATTTAGTAGTACTCATAGCCAGAACTTGCATTCAGGCCTGCCTGTGCTCATCAGTGATGGCCCTTCCACTTCCCTTTCTATGCGCGACATCATGCACCCACCCCAGTGCTCATCCTTTGAGCCCAGGTGCCTTGGTGCTGTCTCAGCCTTGTAGAGGGAGCCCATGCACATCAACTGGGGCTGGCTGAGGAGAGACTTCCCTGCCTTACTTAAGTGATGACCAAATTGCTATGTCTTTGAGGTACAGGTGTTCCTTACTGCCAGTGCCCCTGAAGTGGTTAATTAGTACTTCTTGAGTGGCTAATTAGTACTTTTTTGAGGAAATAATTAAACATTCTATCATTTGAGAGTGAGGGAGAGCCATCTGGGAGAAGGTGGCTCCAGGAAAGAGAAAACTTCAGGAAAGAAGCTTACAAAGAGCTTCATTTCACACTCAGGGATGGGAGGTGAGGCTTTGGTGAGAAGAGAAAAGGGGGGAGTGTGGGGGAGGCTCCTTTGGCAGCCTTACTGAGGCCTACACAGCTGCTCATGAGAATTAGGAGAGGTAAAGAAAAGAAGGGTTTGGGTGAGTGGGGAAAGGTAGGGAGGAAAAGGGAAAATGGCTGATGTTCTCTTCATGTCCCAGAAGTGGGGAGAGGAGCTTGAATCTGCCAATCAGAGACCCCTGGGCTTAAGGTACCACCCCAGGCTTGACCTTGGAGAGGCTCAGCAGAGCCAGCACCTGCATGTGTGTGTGTGGGGGGGCTGCCACAGGAGAGCTCTTAGGACCACCTGGGCTTTAGCTGGGCAGTCTTCCAGGGAACATCTATAAAGCAAACTTTGTTACCGTAGGGCTACTGTACTTCACTTGGCCAACAGAAGTTTGATTGTCTTCCACAGTTCAGCAGGCTGGGAGGCTGAGATCAGGGTGTGGCAGATGGGTCCTTTTGCCCCTGCCATTGTCAGGATGTGTTTCATGCCCTTCTTCCATTTCTGGTGGATCACTGTCAATCTTTGGCTGTTCTTGGCTTGTAGATCTCTCTTTTCACCTTCACATAGTGCTCTCCCTGGGTGTCTGTCCATTTCCCCTTTTTATAAGAACATCAGTCATATCAGGTTATGGGTTCATAGTATTCCAGTGTGACCTCATCTTTACCAATTACGTCTGTAGAGACTTTATTTTCAAATAGGTTTACATCATGAAGTATCAGAGTTTAGGTTTATGACTTCAACATGGGAATTTGGGAGGGACTCAATTCAACCCATAACTAAAGGTCTCACCTCCTTATTGTGTTGAGCAACCCCATCATCAGAGTACTAAAACTGGCTCTCAAAAAGATCTCAAAAGCACCCATTTTCAATTATTCTGGTATTTTTTAATCTGAAATTCAAATTTAACTTGATGCCCTTGAGTTTGCTTGCTAAATATGGTAAACCTCAGTTGGATTTTGAATCTGTAGATTTTGATTTAAAGACTGCACTTAATCATTGGATATTCAAAATCTAGCACAATGGAAGAAATGTACAATATCTGAATAATAAAACACAGAGGAGGAACTTTTATAAAGGCCTATTGATTGCAGACCCATTTAGTTTTTGCTGTTATTTCATTTTCATTTTTGGAAACTATTCTCACTAGATATAGAGCTCAGAATGGTGGTTTGCATTTTGCTATTTCTCTTGGTCTTTAAAATTTCTTTAAAATGATGTCTTAAATGTGAATTTCTTTGTATTTTATTTGAGCTTCTTGGATCTATGGATTGGTGTCTTTCATCAATACTGGAAAGTTGTTAGTTTTAAATTGTCTGCACCATCCTATTTCTCCTCTTCTTCTGGGACCCCAGTGTATCTCAGACCTTCTCAGTCTACCCTCCATTACTCTAACTCTTATCTTTTTTTTTTCCAGTACTAGGAATCGAATTCAGGACCTTGTGCTTGCCAGGAAGGCATGGTGCTGCTGAGCTAAATCCCCAGACCCCTAACTCTATCTTTTGTATTTCTTTTTGATTTTCTATGCTGCATGCAGGAGAATTTCTGTCCTTTATATTACCCAAATCCCCCTTTGGTACCTATCCAAGGAGAATTTTTCAGCACTTTCATTGACATGCCATAAAATCTACCATTCCAGTTGTATCCTCAGTGCTTTTATTATGCAGCTATCCCCACAACCCAGTTTTAGAATGCTGCTGCTATTCTAAAAATTTCCCTCATGCCATTAAAGTATTCAAATCATTTTAATTAATTATTTTTCTTTCTTAGATTACACCACATATTTGACTCTTACAGCACAAACACACTCACTGATTTTCTCTGGATGTTTTCGATGCCTACTATGTACCTGTACCTGTATTTAATGTTTTGCATATATTACCTCATTTAAGCCCCATGACTACCCTAGGAGTTAGATATTATCTATCTCCCCTTAAAGGTAAGAAACCTTTGTTTCTGAGAAGCTTGCTAGCTTCCCCTAAACCTGATAGCTATAAATAATGGAATTGAGTGGCAAGCTCTAATGTGACCCCTAAATCCTAAGATTTTATTTATT